CTGTGGTGCGCGGGGCCAAGGCGATACCAGGTGAAGAGTTAGAGCAAAAAAAAAAAGAAAAGAAAAGAAAAGAAAACTGGCAGTTAGTTTGTGACTGCTGCTGTCATCGTTATTACACACAGAAACATAATCCTGTGGGTAAACAGTGCCAGATCAGACCTGTAAGCAGTAGCTGTTCCGCAAAAAAAAAAACTGACTGACACAGAGCATGACTTTTTCACCCTCTTTTATTGGCCAATAGGGAACGCGTCCAGGAATGTGACTCCACACGTTTGTCTCTCAGGCTATAAATAAAAACAATTAAAAAAAAAATTAAAAATAATAATAAAACCACAACAGAGAACCGTTAAAGTGCACTTTAATTCAACAGTGACGAACTTTTGAAACGAGCTCAGTATCTGGTCAGAGGCAGGAATTTTATTTACAGAATCACACTGGAAGTCCAGGAAGTTTTGCCCTAATTTTACCCCCGTTTTACTGCCACGTTGGAGCCACGCTTGTGCAATGCAAAGTCACTACTGTGAGCATTAACCACTAGAGGGTGATGTATTCATATTTTAAAAAAAACACAGTGTCCGGCCTGGCACTGTATGAACACATATATGTACTTGACCTGGAGCAGGTGTTTGATCAAGTCACGTGATCTCCACAGGCTTCCGTGACCTCCACGTGGACGACCAGATGTCGGTCATTCAGCTGTCATGGATGGGGGTGATGGTGTTCGCTCTGGGCTGGAGGTCCTACACCCACACCAACAGCTCTATGCTCTACTTTGCCCCAGACCTCGTCTTCAATGAGTAAGTTAAAAAAAATATATATATATATATATTTACACACACATATATACACTCTACTTACTGCCCCTCCACCCCCCGACCCCTGAACCCTGTTCAATCAGGGCAGTAGACTCAATGTTTTCACCCAACACAAGTTTGAGGTGATGATGGAGTTCTTTCTGTTCTGTGTTCATCAGTCCGGGTTCTGACCCAGAGTCAGACGGACCCTGGTCCCTGGTTGATGGAACTGGGGTTTTTTTTGCTCATGTTTGAGTCTGTTTCTGTGTTCATGTTCTTCGACTGTTCAACAAGTTTGCTGGTTCAAATCCCATTCTCTCTGAATGACAATAGCACGATTTTCCATGTGTGTGTGTGGGTTTTCTCCAGTTTAGCCCCACATTCCTAAAAACATGCAATGATGATGTCACATGTTTGTTCTCAGGTGACTGTAGGTGTGAATGTTAGTGTGAACGTGAATGTGAGTGTGAATAGATCTCTCGTTTTGGCCACGTGATGAACTGCAAACTGGAAAACTTTCAGGGCTGTAACCTGCCCTCAAATCTCCCCCCTCCACCCCCACCCACCCAGCAGATGAATGAATGATCCTGATAGTCCAAAAGTAAGGTTTCTGTTTCCAGAAAGGAATGTCTGCTGGTCCTAAACAGCTGCAGAATCCATCCTGCTTCTTTTCTTCCTTTAAATGTCAAGAGATTTCACCTGTCATCGCGATCGGAAAAGAAAAAGCATCGGGAAATGGGAGCAGCAGCAGAAGCCTGAGAAAACTCTGTCTCTGAACGCAGCCTTATTAGGGAGACAGTAAACAAGAGCGCCGTGGTACGGCGGTGTCCTCCCCGTCAGACATCCACTGCAGCACACGTCTGCACAGTGACCCCTCATCATTCATTCAGATGCAGAACTTTATTAAACTAAACGAGTCGTCTGATCTGAGGATTGGCTGCAGCGTGGAGTCGTTCTCTTTCCTCCTGCTTTTTTTTATTTATTTTTTTATTGTTTCTTCTTTTTTATTTTTGTCAGGTTTTGATTCACGCTGCAACCTGACACTGCCGCCGTGAAAACTTTTGACACATCAGCCCTATTTTTTGTCTTGTCAATCAATAAAGTAATGAAACAAGGAAAAAAAAGTTGACAAAGCAAAGTTTA